AATGTTCCATGCCCTCACTTATCTTTATGATTGTGCTAAGTACCATTTGATGTCTTAAGGCAAAACGTGCCGTGGGTCACAACCTGCCATGTTTGTTTCTGCGTCTCTTATAAGGTCAAATAAGGAAAAGTCTTTGAAATGTCTCCAATCTCTTCCTTTTCTTGTTTCTGATTTCCTGCTCCTGGTGGTCGGGGATATGTTAGACTGGACTGGTCATCAATCACCATGCCGACCACACTTTGAACAGCTTCTGTCAGTGGCAGTCTGGTGTCAGTGGGAAGGAAGGCAAACGCCATGATCATGCCATCTTACTGACTGGACTTGACATCTGCTCTTGGAAGAATGAGCCTTGTGATACTCTAGGTAAACCTACAGGATTTGAGAAATTAAGTCTCACTATGTATTTTACCGGTCTCCACCACATTCAACCCGATTTTCTTATATTTAAGGAATATTTTTAGAGAGTCTGAAATTTGGCGCTTCTTTTTTGTTCAAAACATCCATCAGATTGTTAAGACTGAAAAAGAAGATAACTAAAAACCATTTGCTTCAGGATATTTGCATACAACAATTCTTCAGATGTATAGAAAATGAACAAATTTGTTGTTCATAAACTCTTCCCATCTCTTTTCTAGTCTTCAATTTTGTACACTAAATTTACACCATCTCTAAAACCTGAAAAGTTAGACATTTAAATTACAGGGTTCCGTGTGTATATTCAGAGACATCAGAATACATCTACAGTACAATATGTACAGTATAGTGTCTTCCAAAAGTATTCATACTCTTCCTATCCCATTTTGTGCAATTACAAAATGATGCACCCACATTTAATGTTTAAAACACTCAAACTGAAGACTTTTAAGGGTAAGATAAGTTATATTAAATGTCAGCAAAGACTATAGAGAAAAAAAGAATAAGTATTCAAACCATCAAACTCAATATTTGGTGGAAGCACCTTTGGCAGCAGTTACAGCCACAGGTCCTTTTGGTTAGATCTGTACCACTTTCTACATTGACTTGATGCAGTCTTTGCCCATTCTTATTTGCAGATTTGTTCAAGCTCACTCAGGTTGCCTGGGAATCACTCATGGACAGCAGTTTTCAAGTCTTTCCGCAAATTGTCAATGTAAAGTCATGACTTTGACTGCTCACACAGAGACATTTAACTCTTAAGTCACTTAAGTGCTGTTTTAGAGCATTATTCTATTGAAAGGTGATTTTTTTGCCCCAGTTTAGCAGAGTAAAACAGATTTTCCCCTAGCTTTTGCCTGCACATTCTTCAATCAATTTTCCTTCAAATTGGCACTTTTGTCCCTAGTGAGGAGAAACATCCCCTTAGCATGATGCTGCTAACACTGTGTTTGAGTGCAGGGATGGTGTTGACTGGGAGATGTGCTGTGTTGGGCCAGCATCAAATGTAATGTACACATTAAATCTCAAGTGATCATAACACTGTTTCCCACAGTTTTGCAGGATCACAAAGCCTGAAGACTCCATGAGGGCTTTGAGATGGTGTATTTTGTAGTGATGGGTTGCTTTGTGCACTCTGCCATACAGGCTAGTTTTGTTAAGTGTTCTGAGTATTGTTGACTGATTCCATCTCCACTGATCCAAACAACTCTTTCAAAGTTGTTGTTGGCCTCACAGTGGTATCCCTCACCAGTTTCCTTCTTTCCTTATTGTTCAGTTTGGAGAGTTGGGTTTGATATGATTTACAGTATCTTCTATTTCTTGATAGTTAACTAGACTGTACTCACACAATATTCAAAGACATCTGTATTTTTGTACCCTTCTCCTGATCCATGCTTTATTTATACCTTACTTGCTTTGAAAGATCTCCTCATTCTTCATAGTTAAGTCTGTGCTTGAAATAAGGACATGAAAAAGTACTTGCTTTATTCTTTATTGAAAATCAGTGATAGTTGCAAAGAAACTTATCAATGCTAGAAGAGAGCATCTCCTGGAATACTATGTGGAGTAATCAGAATTTTGCATGAAACCCTGGACCAGTTAATCTCATTGAACTTAATTCAGAGAACCTATTTTACCCCTCAGAAATAACTTCTAATTCATTTTACTGACTCCCTGAAGTAAAGGCTGTGTTCCCAGGACCTACAGGAACATTTTTCCATATGGTCTAGGAATGCACAGATGTTCTGGTGGAAGAAGGGCATGTGTGATATTTTGTATAGTATTGAAGTGGAGTATTCTTTACTACCCTTTCGTCCTGCTGCTGAATAATGACGCCTATATAGATTTATCTTTTTCATAGAAATATGTGTGGTTGGCTGGCATTACTGCCACCAAAGGAATGATTGTATACCCTTGGCAGCCACCACACTTTTTTCCCTTGTGCCAGTGGGCCCTGACCTTGTCTAATGTTGCTCAATTTGAACCGTCTGCTGCTTGGGTCCTTGACACCACAGAAGGAATCCTATGGCTCTGGGAGAAATCTATAGAACAATAATAACATTGATGATCTTTTTGCCATCTTCTAATTACTGAGTTAGTTTTGACGAATCCCTGTAACTAGCCTTCTGTGACAGGTGGATCCCAAAAGAATTATCTTAAATTATCACGAAGCAACATAGCTGAGTTGCTTTTCACATGACTGTTGAAGCTGATCCCCTGGCTTCTTTCAAGAAAAAGCTGGATGAGACCTTGGGTCAAGTTACTTCTCTTGACCTAACAGGCTAGATGGTCCACATGGCCTCCTCTCATTTGTAATCTTTTTTACATTCTTCGTCATCTCTTTGTGATCACTTATGATCATTTTTTGGGCTCCACCCTTGTCACAGAAGGCCAGTGACAGGGATTCTGGCTCATTAAGGTAATTTTGTGCAATTCACTGTACTGTATATTTACCATAGGTTTGAAACTTATGCAATCCTGGCTTTTCCATTTTTCATTCATATTAGTTACCTACTTATTTCTTTTTCATTGTTTTTGCTTTGAATGGGTAGAGTAAAGCTTGTATACAATGAATATTAATTTCTTTGTGGATGCAAGTGTTAAAGCAGAACAATGTGAAAACTGTGCAAGGGTCTGAATACTTATCCAAGGTACTGTATATGAAGCCATAGATGTAAACATTAGTACTTCACAAAAACATTTTAAATACCACTTAGTAGTCTGAATGAATGTTTAATAAATATGTAAAAACATCACTTGGTTTACAAAGGTAATTCGTTCCTGACAAACTTACATATAAAAGCTTTCAACTCAAGCCCAAAGTCTAGAAAATTTCCCAATATTTCTCATTATTTCTTTAATCATACTGAATTGTCAAAATCAGAACAGTACTGAATATTTTTGATAATTATCTCATTTAGCACGTGTACTGTACATTAGTTGATACCATAAATATAATCTGTAAAAACTGTAAACAGTTGAACATCTAAGTTCAAGGCAATGCAAATTTTTTTTGACTCCCTGCCTTTTTTGGTTCTTGCTATCACTTCAAGTTTAATAGCCAAGGGAAATAGTTTCTTTATTTTCTTTGCTTTTGTAGTGACTGGAGCAGTGCAACATATTGTGCTGATACGGGGTTAAAAATAATGATCATATCCCATAATAAAAAATAATAAGCAACATCACAATGGAAAAGCTAGTGAAAATGGCTTTGTACAGTGAAAAACAGGTAGTGAAATAAGCACTTTGTAATAGCAAAAGTTAATACATCCCTTGTAGAGTGATGGATGAGTGTATACAGTAAGTGCCTTATTAAAAATCTTTGCAAAAGAACAAAGGATATTCTCAATTGCACTGATGCAGATTACGAAGTCCTGAGCCAAATTTAGGATTTACAGTTTTAATGATTTGCCAGAACGTCATAAACAATACATATTCACAATTTGTAGTTTAATGTTTCAGGCTCTGCTATGGTATAAAAACTAGGAAATGCGTCACCTATTGAGACCAGAGTAAGGCATGTGTTGTGTAAGCTGCAGATGTGTTAAGGATGGGGAGTAATAAGGATTTCACCAGTGGAGGTCCTGTCCTTCAGATAAGATTAAAGACTAATGTTCATCTGCTCTGAGGATACTTAAGCTATCTGAGCACTTGTTAGAAAACAGCGGTGCTGTTCAGTTCTTTACCCAGGCCAAGTTCTCAGGCGGCTTTTCTGTCCCAGTCTGAGCATGTGTTCTTGAAAGGTTCTGTTGTTTTAAAGTCTTTAATCCATTAACATTGGGCTTTGCAGCTGACTAAAAGTACAGGTGTTCTGAATTGCTGCTGTTTTGTCCATCTAATGAAAGCAAGCTGTGGGATTTTCAGAAATGGGTAAAGTCAGAAAAAAGCATCTTTTGGCACTTGCTTAAAATCACTATTATCCTTTATAGACAATTTTTATACAATACAAAGAAAAGCTTCATATGATGTATTCAAGAAACTGGAACAATACCAGTAAAGTATATTTATTTTAAAGAAAGATTTCAAAGGTTAAATAAAAGCTAAAGATTTTTTACCAAGACCTTGTATTGAATCTTTAGTAAGTGCAAAAAGTGAAACAATGTTCTTTGTTCTTGTCTAGAATCTAGTCTAATATCTACTCAGCATTTGTATAATATGTGGGAATTTTTGTGTATCCCATAGACTGAAGTCTGTAACAGGTTTACAGGGAAACATTTGTACTGTTCAGGTTAGTTTGTACAGGCATTTCAATGTTAATATTACATTTTTTAGGCCCTTAAGATACTGTATGACTACAAATAGCATAATACATTGTATAGATGTTGGAAGCATCTAGTGTCCCCAAATGATGTTCACATTATGTGATGTCTTGCATAGTTTAGTTAGAGTTTATTTATACTGTAGTTGTGTCCCTACCTGTTGTATTATAATTTTATGAACAAATACATTTAAAACATAAAGGATAGAATCTAGAACTGATGCACAATATACTCTGGAATTAAAACAGAAATCTTTTAGATATTTATGCTACATGCTACATGTTTCAAAACCCATCAAAGTGAATTATTTTATCTAATGTTTTTCAGGTTTTGCACCAATCAGTGGGATGTGTAGTAAATACCGCAGCTGTACCATCAATGAGGATACTGGACTTGGGCTGGCCTTCACTATTGCACATGAATCAGGACATAAGTAATTCATATTTTAATTTCCCTAATAATATTTGCAGAAAAGGAAACACAAATCATTCAATACTTCATAGAAGCTTGAAGGAAATACTGTAAATTTTTTTGCAGAACAGTTACACTGTATTTTTTTGGGTTAAAGCATCTCACAAAGGCTATTTGTTGGCAGAGACTCTGTGGTGATAAGGGTTTAATATTTTGTGAACAAGTTGTTGAATCCCCTTGAAGAAAGATTCCATTTAGTAGTTTATATCATCTGGGATTTTCCTCTAATTTCGTCTTTATAAAATTTATGAATTTTCTTTAGCACAGTTCACTACACTGTTGTGACTCTTAAGCTGGTTAGTCCCCTTTCTGACTAGAATAAAGATAGCTAAAAATTGAGAATATTATTGCTAGTAAGCATAGTTGTAGAACTTTAGACAGGATATACTGTATTACACATGTGGCTGTGTTCATTCTTAAATCATGCGAACCACTATTTTTGCACAAAGACAGAGGCCTCTCAGCTAATTGTGTGACTTGGCAATGTAATGTTGTGCACTCAAACTGATTTAGTTTTGTGGTAGCAAAAGGGTGAATGCTTATGAAATCAACATACAGTACATGGGGTTTTGCTTTTTCTTTACGGTTTTTGTTATGTTATTTGATTAAACAAATTGACTTAAAAATGTTTAGATACCATTTGCATTTCAACAAAATGTACCAACAAAATGGTACATCATTGGAAGGGAGCAAATAATTTCTCAAGGCACCGTGTGTATCTGTGCTGTGGTTGTATCTACAGTATGTATTTATATCATGATCTCTTTAGACTTCAATAGCTCCTTCCTACAGATGCCATTGCTCTTACAATCCCTCTGCCTTTCTCCTGCATTTTGCACTTTTAAATACAATATACAGTATACTATATTGAAAACTCTTGGAAATATGCAATTGTTCCACTGCAGTTCGTTTTACACTCTGTTCAATACAGTCACCTCCGAGATCCAATTTTCCCTGTTAAGAAAGATACAGTCCTAAAAAACAGCAGATCAATCATGAGCAAGCCTGTGTTCTGTCACAGGACTTCCTAGTAAATCACATTTTAGAGAGAAGCAATGATAGCCAATGTAATAGGATACGAGTAAGAAATTAAAAACAAGCAAAATCTATGCACCTCAGTATGTAACATCATAATACCTTGTATTTTACAGTTTTGGGATGATTCATGATGGTGAAGGAAATGTGTGCAAGAAATCTGAAGGTAACATCATGTCCCCAACATTGGCTGGGCACAATGGAATCTTCTCCTGGTCTGACTGCAGTCGACAATATCTCAATAGATTTCTAAGGTACTTCACTTCTTTCTGTTTTTCAAACTCTGTACCAGTTTTGTGAATACCCATTGTTGACCATGTTTTAAAACATACAGTTTTATTGGTCATTTATCCAAGAAACATTCTCTTGCACAAGTGTGTAAACAACTCAATTATTCAGGCAAAGTACCAAGTGTTGTTTAAAATTGGTGATTGCATTTTTTTTAATTCTCCCTTGCTGATGGAGTTTGTAAAGACCACAATGCAGTGAAGTATTTTCTTTTGTTTCTTCCAAGAACTCAAAGGCTGTCATATGTATCATGCTTTACTCCTCCAATAGATAACAGTGGCACTCTGTATTGCTGACTTACTGTATAGGAAAATTATAGAAAAAAATTTAATTGAAGGAAACTGAGAGTCCCTTCTGTAGATTAATTATTTACAGCATGTAGACGTAGCAAAAGCCAAGCCCAAATATTATTTGGTCACAAACCTGTCCCTTTGGTTAACTCAGTAAAGGTCCAGACATTAGACTCATCTTTAAAAGCAGATAATATGCAGTACAGTTTTATATAGGTGGCACTGGGGAACATTCAGCTGTCATGCTTTCTATACTTCTCCAGTTTGTCTTGTATTACAGCCAGTGTCTGAATGACTGTCTGTGTAATAAGATAGGCTTCCTAAACCACTAAATTTACCAATGTGTTATATTAACTGTGAAGTATCCTATCGCTAGCTTGTGGCGACACATTAATTCCTCAAGTAAGTTATTAATGGGCCATGACTTCATAGTAATTACCCTTCCCAGATTCTTCTTATTTACTAGTTTATGTTATGATACCATATTTGTGGTTTTAAATAGGGTCCCGTTTGCCAAGTTTTTTGCTTTATCTGCTTTATTGCCTATACAGTATGTCTTATTGCCTATATTAATGTATATACTGTATTATTTATTAAATATACCTGTATATGATAATAAATATATGATCATAGAGTAGAGGTTAGGATGAATATTGTAATGAGGCTCCACAAAAATAAAAATCATAATCATGTCAATGTTTTGTTACTTCTGTTTAGGGTGGAAAACATGGGTTAAGATGATTTATCCATAAACTACAGTACTTCAAAAGTATTTTGTTTCGTAATTCTAGCTGTCTGTACTACTTTTTAAGTTATTTAAGATAAGTATATGCTGTGTATATTCTCAAACTACTTTTGAAAATCATTCACAAAGCTCAAAGACAGCTGTGTCATGTTTAATAATATTTAGTACAACATAAAACGATTGTTCAATACACTTGTACCTGTTCACTCTGCATAAACTGAGCTTTTTTGGAATATAAAAGTTATAAAAGGAAAACAAAAATTAAAGTTAAAACAACAGTGTATTACTCATAACTAATATAGTAGTAAAATAAATAAGTAAAATAAAACTGAACTACTGTGCATTCTCAAGTAATTATTTCTTGGAGTTAACTAATCTAAAGCAGTAAAAGTAATGGAGCAGTTGATTTTCAATTTTTCTACTTCTGTAATGTGAATCAGGCTATTATAATCTTTTGCAACAATAATGGAATCCTGTATTAATCAAAAGGACTTTTAAATTAATCAAAAAAAAAATTCCTGTGGAAACTATGTGTCTCCAGGCATGAATAATAAAAGTTCTATGGAGTTGGGTAGCTTGGAAATTAATAGAATACACAATAGATTAAAGCCCAATTGTATTCATTTAGCATTTGCACTTTAAACAGAATGCAAACTCTAATATTGGATTTTTTTGCCTAAGGATAGCCAACAATGGTGTCTCAATTACAAATACTGTGTAGAATATGTTTATTTCCAATATTCATTTGGAAGTTGCAACATATGCACTTTCCAGATTGCAATGGGTTGTTTTCCCTAATCATATTCAGTGCAGGTTAATTATTTTTTTCTGGTGCTTCTGTCAAACTAAATCAAATTTAAGTTAATTCCATCATTTAATGTGGCTTTTATGGAACGTGTTTATGATGTTAAATCACTTTGCCTTTAATTAAAATGTTGTGCACAGTATTTCAGCATAAAATGAAATTGCACAGCCCAAAATTAGCAATTAGTCTTTCTTTTCAAAAATCCAAATTATTTGCAGACAGCAGAGCAAGCTTTATAATACTGCAAGCAGGATTCAAAATGTGGTTGTCTAATGACTAGGCAGACATGCTGTCTGTGTAACTAAGGCTCCATTAAAACACATAATTTGCTTAATAGACCTTTTTATTCAGGACAAACACAGTGTTTTCAAACGTATTGGAATATCATGTTGGATATCGTATTAGAATAAAATCAAAACTTCAACCCATTGATTTCAAGTGACTGTAAGTATTTGGTCACGTTCACTTTCATTGTTAATTTCACTGAATAAAAATATCATAGAAGTATTTTCTTCTACAAATGCAGACAAAATGTTTCTGTAAACGTCATAATTCATTCTGCTGCCATCATTACCTATAAAATCAGTACAGGCAAGAAAGGCAGTTCCACAAATAGCTTCCACAATGCTATACAGATAAAGTAGTATTGTTTAGAGTACTGTATCTGTAGTTCCTTTTCTTCACTTTACATTAACCCTTTACTCACTTTGTTAAAGGTTTATCTCAGGTTTATCTGTCCATAAAACGTTTGTGTTATATTTGTACTTCCATGCAAATCCTGAAGCATGTTAATGGTAATGTCATGTAGAAGAAAAATAGTTCCATATTTATTGGGCAGCACTTCACCGTGCAGCATGACAATGACCCAATGCATATGACCAATTCAAAACAAGATGTTCATCAGGAGAAAAAGTGTAATCTTAGACTGGCCAAGTCAATTTTTAGATTTAAATCCTGAGCATGCATTTTACATACCAAAGAAGTTGGAACACCCCAAGAATAGGCAAGAACTCAAAGTGGCTGAAGCAAAGGCTTGGCAAAGTGTCTCGAATGATTACACAGAGAGTTTGGTGAGCTCAGTGGGTTGTAGACCTCATGCAGTTATTACCTCAAATGGGATGTGCAGCCAAATACTGACTTTTACACTCTGAAATGTCCTTAAAGTGAATGTGCCCCAATACATATGGTCACTTGAAATCACTGGGTTGAACTCTCAGATTGTTTTTCTTGTAATATGACTTACAAGAGTTTACTATATAAACTTATGTATGGAATTAATCAAAAATAAAACAAAATGTATTTTTATATTGTGTCTGTATTAATTTGTCATTTGTATTAATCTAATGCTCAGAAATTCAAATTGCTTGATTGTAAAGCAAAAATAACAATTTTATTTTGCTTTCCCAATAATTAGTGAACACAGTATTTGGTCTTACATATTACTTAGCTATTAGGGAATTCATTACAAAGTGCATTCAAGTAACGATAGTTTAAATTCATTTGAAATGATGTATACTTGTCTACCTTTTGAATCTCTCCAACCTGTATTTCATTTTTAGTTATTTCCCTTTTATCTTTAAATATCTTTAAACTATACATTTCAATCCAGAATTCACTTAAACTCTTAATGTTAAATTTGAGACTCAATTCTGAGACAAATGGCTTAGAAGCAGATTTGGCCATTTCTTCCATATTGTTTTATAAGAGGTTTTTAACACTGATTAAAAGCAACACTGATTAAAAGTAAAGCTTTTAGATTATTGTTTTATGCAAACATTTTCTACTCTTTGAATATTCCTAAAAGAGACCTCAATAAAGGACTACATAAGAACATGCTGTAGTCTGTAGTCTCAGACCTTGGATACTATTCCTCAGTAACCGATTTCTACAAGTGGATACCAGATGCGCTTTCATATTGTGAACGTAGATGTATTTTCAGGATAATTGAAACCAGACTGGATGTATGAAACTATAAATCATTACAGTCTTCCTGTAGTATGTAGCAAAATTAATACTGCCAGGGCATCTCATAAATAAACTTAACAAAAAAAGAAGGCGATGTACAGAAAAATGATGGTACAATCAACTTTGTGATTGCTTAAATTGCTATTATACATGAATAAGGAAATAATCTAAATTAATCATGGATTTTTTTTTTATTAATTTTGATTCTACACTTTTTAGGTACTTTTCTCCACTTAGAGTTAAAGTTATTTACTGGTCAGTTAAGTAAATAAGAGTTTACATTGCCGTAACAAACCAGTAGTAGTGGAAGAACATACAATAGCATCTGAATATTCCTCCTTTCTAAATACACGAGGAGTCTGCATAGGAGCTGAATTGCATTTTAAATCCAAATGGTTCTATGGATAGTAATGACATATAATATGTATGCAGAAACAATCACTTTATTTAAGATACAATGAAAAAAGAATTTAAAGATCAGGATTTCAGAGTCACTGTGATGAACATTTTTCCTGTTGTTTCAGCTCTGCCCAGGCCACCTGTCTTGCAGATGAGCCAAAATCGGTGAAGGAGTATAAGTATCCAGAGAAGCTGCCAGGAGAGCTGTATGATGCTGACACACAGTGCAAGTGGCAGTTTGGAGAGAAAGCCAAGCTCTGCAAATTGGAGTTCAAAAAGGCAAGTAGACAACCATGAGTCTAACAAATCTGTTAGAGGTGCTAGGAGGCCTTGTGATTTGAACAAATTATTGACGGTTCTAATTAAATGCCAGGGGAGCACAAGGAATAAGTTCAAATATGAAAGATGTCTTTCAATGCCATCTAAATGAAAATGATCATTCTCGGGGAATTATTTGTTGATTGGCTGTAATTTAGCCATAGTAATTTCTGAAATTGTATTGTATTAAGGTCTGATGAATCGACTACTTTTTGGTTTCCTTTCTTGGCTGAATTTCCCACTTGCAACCTGTCTCCTCTCTTTTGTGTGAGGGCTTTCATACCTAGTTTCTTAGGAGAGCAGAATTCAAATCAGAGTTCAGTTGGACCCCCAAAATGGTTTGATTTGACAGGTATAAAACCAAAAAGGTTGTCTTAGCTCAATTGAGAGGGAGCTGATGGTGCTGATCTCCCTTGGAGTCAAGCAGTTTGAAAGCAATTGGACTAGAGTTCTTGGCAAAAAAAACCTGTCTACCTGTTGAATTTCTGCTTATGTCTTTTTCACCTTTAAATACTGTAGCTAGTATGCGCTGACAACAAAAATCAAAAGTTTTAATCTCTTAAATTTAACAAAAAATACAAACAAATCTAAAAAGTACAAATAAATCATTAGGTTGAAGTGTACAATAAGGATAGAAATAGAAAATAAAAACAGATTTCAAGCCAAAAATGATGGATGAACATTTTGTACTGAAACAGCTAGTGGTTCTTGCATATGAATAATCCAGGATGTGTAATCAATCTTTCTTTTATGCACTTTTGCTGCACCTTTTTTTAGAGACAAAAGAGGCATTTTCTAGGATGGAAGAACTGCTATTAAAGGAGCTGCTAACAACTTCAACTTTAAAAAGGATAGTCCCACAAAAAAAGTAGTTTCAAAAACTAATATCATATTTTGTTTAGTTACATGTTTGTGCTTGTAGTATTTTATTTCTCCTGAGATGGCTGATAATGTAGAGAATGTTTGCTATTTATGCTATTCTATAAGTACTGTCCTAAACACTGGAAAATTACTATAGAATTGCAGAAGGCCTTTGGGGTAACTATACCAAATAGAAATTGAATACTTGCCAATGGGAAACTCAGCTGGAACAGTTTCCATTGCCCACATCTAAGTTGTTTTAAACACTGGAGAATTACTGTATCTTTATTACATAATAAATAAGAAGAAGGCTCATGATTCTTAATTCTTGATTCTTAGTGTCTTATTTCTTGATTCTTAGTGCAAGTGAGGGAAAAAATGATTCCCTACAATCACATTCAATAAATAATTAATTATAAATTAAAAAAGTTCTTTAGGTGTTTTATTGCTCTTTAAAATCAAATCATGTTGAGTAGATTTTTCCCCTTTTCTTTCTTGTTGCACCCTGAGTTATCTCATCCCATCAACTCACTCAAGAATGTTACATCTTTGCTCAAACTCTATTGGTATTTAGCAGTACTGTTAGTTAAAAGGAGAAAATTAGGAGCAGTGTATAATTTTTTTCTCTTCACGACTTAGCATTAAGTAAGTTTCATTAAGTTCTGAGCCAGTGTGGTTACATGCTTGAGTTGACAGGTAATAACCCTTATGTGTGTTCTGTGTGTTTCACTACTTCTGATTATATAATGATTGCTTAAGATTTTTCTTTAAACAAATTACATTGGGAATTTTGTTTTGGAAGAGCTTAAGAAGCAACCCACAACACTTTGAAGCAGATTTGTGATTGCGTGTGTAATGCTGATTAATGTCCCTAATTCAGTTCCTCATTTAAGAAATGTCATGTTGAAGAGTCAGTTTTGCAGGAATAATCAGTGAGCATGACAAAAACATAAAGCCATGATCAAGTAGGTTAAAAGAGATTAAAGAAAATTATATTAACTCATCTTTGTAAAGCTTAATGTGATTATTAAACCAGTCCTTCTCCTCATTTTTTTAGTAACAGATATGTGATACTAGGTTTTAGACAGACTCATAACCTTTAGTATAGTTGGGTCGTCTAGGTGTCTGACTGCTAATTTTAAACTTGATTTCCTCTCACACTCATAAGTTTAGACCTTTAAGTATAACTATGACTAAACTTAGAACTCTTCATGGACTTCAGTTTGTACTTGTCTTGTTCAGTTTACAAGATTATATCTTGTTACATTAGTACAAGTAGAGGTTGATTGTACAGTAAGTTGAAAAGCAGAAAAAAAATAAAAAAGCCTCAATACTTAAAAATGCTTCATAGCTGAAACATTATTTTGTTCTTTCCATTTAGCAGTGTAGATTTGACCTGTACATATTCCTTTGAAGCCTACATGCTGAAACAGCTCTCAACTCAAACCTCACATTAAATTGCCCAATGTATCTAGCTGTGCTCAAATGTAACTTGTACATTACCAAATCTACACATTCCTTTTTATCTGTCCTGAAGTTCAGAATAAACAGCATATTCCTTTCCTCCACCTTCAAGAAAAAAGCTTACATATGAAAGAGAAGACTGTAAGGAGGCACTGGTGTGTTACTCAACAAGCTTAACTTAATTTTAGTGACAGTAAATGGTAATAGAGCCAAGACTGTCCAGTGACAAGATGGGCATGCTGTCAATGTAGCTATAAATACAAGAGCTCAATCAGCTGCCAATGCAGAAATGGCCTTCAGAACCAAAAATTAATTAAGGCAGCTCACAGTGAAGACAGTTACTGAACTGTAAAATTTGCAATGTATTAATTCCAGTTTGCACTGAGTAGTGTAAGAATTCTTATATTGCAGCACAATACACTATCAATACATCTAACCACATTTGACAAGCTAAGTGCATTTTACTCACATTTCGTTAACTATGGGTACAGAAAATCATTATGTGTAATCAGATAGACACAATTCCACAATATGTGTGAGGTCAATGTAGTTGTAAGTATCCTGCCATTCAAGATTTACCAGACGAAGTCAAGGACTCTGTTCAAGGCACCTATACAGAATCTAGCTGTGTATTTCATTGTAAAAGTCAGAGACAAACGTTTATAACAATAAGATTAAGAAAAAAATGTTGTCACTACTATGGCCCAGAAACTGATTCAATTAGTTTATGTCTTTACAAGGTTGGCCTGAAGAAAGGCAGTTTTTATTGCCACTTAGTTTTAGGCCTGCAGCGGTACTGTAAGTGCATGATGGTCTGTATGATCAGCACATTTATAAGCTTCAGCACAAATACTTTTTGGTGCCATTTCAGACATTTGCTCACAGTAAGACAAAAGTATAACTGGTAGTTGAATTGCTGTTTAAACCATCCATTCGTGCAACCAGTACAGGCAAACACACAAACAGGTACACCAAAAGGCAGAATCAACACCAGGACACTGAAGCTGCAAGGCAAAAGCACTAATGACCATGTTCTCCCACGCTGTTTAATAATTCTATAATGACGTGTTTTAATATACATCCACAGAAGTAATTATGTTTGTTTGTTTGTTTGTTTGTTTGTTTGTTTTAATTGTGCAGGATATTTGTAAAGCTTTGTGGTGCCATCGGATTGGCAGGAAATGTGAGACCAAGTTCATGCCTGCAGCTGAAGGCACAGCCTGTGGGCCTGAGCTGGTGAGAGGAAATTTTTGGACATCCTGAAGATAAACTTAATTTCAAGCTCTTGTTTGTTCTTATAGTCATTTATTTTGCTTTTGGTTAAAGGAATGATTAAAAGCTCTAATTATACTGATTGTACTATAGTGTACTTCTCAGTACAATGGAGAGGATCATGTACTGTACATCAAAAAGATCATTGAGATCTATATGTCTGTATTATTATTACTATTATAATATATATTAATGTTACTGCCTTTTCATTACACTAGACAGAATGTTTTATATACAATAGATAGCAAAATATGATTGTAATATACTGCAAATTTCTATGTGTTCTGTCTGTGGTTTTTTGCTGTTTGCATTTTTATTACCAAAACTAGAACTATAGGAAAACAGCTACTGAAAATGCTTCTTAATTTTAAATGAAAGGAAAGAACAAAGTGAACTAAAGTATACCATTGTTACACCTGGTTAAGTTTTCAGAAATCAGCTTTCTTTCCACGTTTGGGTCTCAAAATGCAAGATGACTGTTTGACGCAATGTTTGATATCTGACTCCTAGCTTAATCCTTCCTGACCCCAGTTCAACCCAAAGTGCTTAAGTAATGACATACCCTTACAGAAATTACCAACAACCTGTTTTCAGGCAAAGTAAATTAAGTACAGTAGTACAACATGCACTTAATTATATTATAGCATGTTCTGCTATAACATGATATTTGCTTTTTAAGGAAATTTCACAATACAGAAATGTTTTATAAAAAACTGTTTAGAGTGCTAATAACATTCATTAAGTGAATAAACAACGAAAAATAAAAACAATGCCTTAACATGATGTAGCCATATGTGTTTGTCTTGTTAAGAAAGAGAACATATACTGTATGGCAGTGGAGGATTAAGAAGTGGAAAATAACATTCTGTTTATTATGTGTAAAGGTCACAACAAAAGTATTTTAACCATCTCATTATCTGATTGTTTACATCTGTATAACAGGATGTTAAAGAAAATTATTTGCCAAAAATCATTTTTTATCAATTACTGTACATACTAGAAAAATAGAATTTTATATAACGTTAAAAGGTGGAGAGGAGAATCATCAGAAAGACACTCAGCATTTCCGGAAATATTATAAATAATAATAAAATACAACAGTTTTGCCTTAAATGAAAAAGACTTTAAAGTATTAATTATATTCTGTCTACTTCCTTGTAGTTTTCCTTGTGTAGTCAGCCCAGTTAGTAGAAGATTAATGTATACTGTGCTGAATTTTTCAGTGTTATGATGTTATGTATAAGAGTCCAGTTTAAATCAGTTTGTATGTAAGATACTATTTTATTTTTAGTGGTGTCGCCGTGGCCAGTGTGTGAAGTATGGAGATGAAGGCCCCCAGCCTGTGCATGGTCTTTGGTCAGACTGGTCACCTTGGTCTGGGTGCTCTAGAAGCTGTGGAATAGGAGTCACCTATCGGGAGAGACAGTGCACAAATCCAAGGTAACACCTTTCTTCCAGCAAGCAATGGGCACAGGCAAGACGCACACTGGACAGGAGGCCAGTCTATCGCAGGGCACACATGACACAAACATGCACACACTCACACCAGAGCCACTTTTCCCAGAAACTAATACTGGTATGGCTCTAGACTGTGGGAGGAGGTCCATGAAACCCATAGA